TAAACCGCAGAAGCCTGTGCTGCAGGGTCAGAAGACCAAGCAGTCGTAAGAACGAATCCGCCCGTTGCTCGTCCCAGCTCCCGCCAACCTAGCGGTTCGAAAGCATGCAAATGCAAGTAGATAAATAGGGACCACCTCGGTGGGAAGGTAACAGAGTTCCGTGTCTAAGTCGCACTGGCCACGTGACCACGGAAGATTGTCTTCGGACAAAACGCTGGCTCTATGGCTTGGAAACAGGGATGAGCACCGCCCCCTAGAGTCGAACACGACTGGACAAAAATTGTCAAGGGGAACCTTTACCTTTACCTTACAAGCAAATAAACAATGTGACTGTTTCATTTACACACTTCCAGAACAATCTCAGTCCCCTGTTGTTGCCTGCTTTGTAGGCTGTGAGATGCCTCTCTAGGGAATGGTGAGGGGGGTAGAGGAATTCTTCAAGGGAAGAGGACAAAGCTGCTGTGAAGGGTAAGGTATACCATTAGTACGTCACAACGTCTGAGGTCTTGTGCAGTTGTGAAAACTGTGTAATTTTTGGACATGAATGGCCATACATTAAGAGAATCTCCCTAAGCAGTATCTGTTGCATGCCAAATCATTGTGACTCAGTACTCAGTAAATGATGTCTAGGGAGATATCTTAACTTATGCAGTTTGTGTAAGTGCACAACAGGATACTTATGCCATTTGTGCAAATGCACAACAGGATTTCTACCTTTTTGTTTATACAAAAAGGACATATAACCTCAGGATTCATCTTCCCTATAAACAGCTGTGGACCATCAGTGTGCTATTGGTGGTAGCGGGCATAGGTCCCCAAATACAGATATTCTGTAGAATAGCATATTGGCTTTTGATCAAGCAGATTGTATGAAAATACAAACAAAAGAACTACATTCCCATTACTTGGAGAAGCCTTGTGGCGCAGTGATTAAACTGCTGTACTACAGTCAAAACCCAACTCATGACCTGGGTTCAGTACCAGGTACCTGGCTTGTGAATCACTCAGCCTTCTGTCCTTGTGTAAACTGAGTATCCAGCTTGTTGAGCAGTGGCAATATGTAGCCTGCATCATTGAATTTTAAACCACCCAGAAAGTGCTTTAAGGCAGCATATTTTGCTGTATTTAACACTCTGAGAAAAATTATTATTATTGGAATAAGTTCTCTTCTCTCTCTTTTTTTTTTCTGAAGAGGAACCTGGATGAAACTATGGCTTTTTTACATGGCTTATGGGGCCATGGTCATTACTCACTTTTGTTTTCACAGTTTTTTTGTTATCAAGCAACCTAGATTGCAGATACAATTTATTTATAGGTTACGTACCTAGCTACTTCCAAAAGTTTTATTTAAAGGGTATTTAAAGGCACTTTTCAATTTTGTTCCATTCCCTTATAAATTCTAAGTATTGTTTGATTTGTCTTTTGCCTTTCAATAAATATTTTCAAGTGTAATATCAGAAGTGAACACTTGAGGGAACCAGACAACATTTCCCCATATTTTCCTGACACGTCAGTAACCACAGTGCAAGTACTAATGTGTAACTTATTCAATTGGAGCAATGTTAACAACAATGTGACCTAGTTATTGAGAAACACATAACGGTCTCAATACAGGATTTCACCTGGATCTACTTGAATGAACAGAACCAGGTCTCAAATTCTCTACTTTATCCTCCACCCCCTCTCTATCCAATGTGGGATAATGCAATACGTTGCAGTTTTTTATCACACAGTATTAGCTCTGCTAGCCCAGTATCTTCATCAACCCTACAATTATCTATGTACAGCAGACAAAATATATAACCAGGAAAGCAGAGTGTTAGGAAAACTCTGGAAAGATGGTTATGACATGAGGACTATTTGTCTCTAGGATATGTGGTTTGAAGATCATGCACTTTGGCAACACTTAGCAGGATGCCTGAATGGGGAGGAGGACTATATAGCTTTGCTGCCTCCCCTCCCCCACCCAAATTTCCCTTTAAGATATTACTTATTTTTGTTTGACCCTGTCTACCCCATAGAATTGTGACTTTCTAAACCATTTATCCAGGAAGTAGCTTCTTCAAAAATATACCAGTTTCTCCTCATTTTAATGAGAAACAGTTTTCATTGTCACATTTTTGCACTGCATGTACATCACAGAAGTGAGTACAGCCCCTCACCTTTCATAAGTATTTTAGTACATCTTTTCATGTGACAACACTGAAGAAATGACACTTGGCTACAATGTAAAGCAGTGAGTATACAGCTTGTATAACAATGTAAATGTGCTGTCCCCTCAAAATAACACAACACACAGCCATTAATATCTAAACTAGAGATGAGGACAAATATAAAAATGGATCTGCTTTTTTGACAAAAATAGCCAATTTGTTAAATATTCATTGATCCATATTTGTCATTTTTAAGTCCCAATGAATACGAATCAACAAATATCTTCCCATTTTTATTCGTCCTTCATAATAAAAATAATAATAAAAACACTATTCTGCCTACCAGCCGCCGATCAGCTAATCGGCGGGCCAGTAGGGAGCCACCCACCCTCACAGCCTACTCCCCCACTCCCTTCCTCTCCCTACCTTAGCTGCCACCCCCCACCGCCACCAATGCCCCCCCCCCCATAATCGCTGCTGCTGCTGCCATCTTCAGTTGGCCTCTGTAGCTTTGATTTTTAGAAAGGG